TTGTTTGAGCTCAAGACCCAACTGCTTCTCCTTTCAGTTCTCAAATTCCCTGGTTCAGTCCCAGGTGCATTGGCCAAGATGATGTCCATCATCTCCTCTAAAACAACAAGCAAACAAACAAAGGAGATGCTCTCCTTCACACCCCCCTCCAATAAAGTGCCTTCAGCAGCTAAAACCAAATCCCAAATATCGGAGACTTATAATGACATCGTGAGAGTTAGCAAGGCAGCAGCTCCCCTGGTGATTATAACAACACCGGTGCTTGAGAAGAGTCCTCGCTTCAAGGCATCTGGAATTGCTCTTGCAAGATCCATTGTCAAATGAGCTTTTTCCTTTGTTTAAAAATGTCAGCCCGAAGACCCCTGCCAGAGTGGTGGTATAGCCTGCTTGAGTTCACTCTGGCTCCCACAAGGCTTCAACAGTCCTCTTTGCCCCTCCTTGTCTCCAGGCTTAATTAGGAAATCATTTATCTTTATTGGCACTCTCTTTCCCCTGCTGCTTTGGCATTATTTTTTTTTTTTTTTGCCTTCATTCCAGTGCAGTGAGCTGTACAGGGAAGACCACAGCCCCATTCATTGTGGGTGGGGAATAATCTACAACTGGGAGCCCTACAAGGAAGACCCCAGCAATGAATCTGCTCAAGTGGCATGGCCTGAGGGACTACTGTACAGAAACAGGAGAGGAGGGTATCCCCTGGCTCCACTTACAGGCTAACAATAGGGATTCCTGGTGATACTGAAAGTAGGACACTACTCCCAAGGGATGTCATATGGTCAGCCTGTCCCAAACTGAACTGCCAGCCCTCTCCAATCTAATGATACGCCTGCTTCATCACCCCAGCAGTGTCCCTTGGTAGCAGAGCACACAAAGGGAAAGGGCTGCAAGGACAGGCACAGCTCGGGGACTACCAGGCTGCTGGGCTCCAGCTCTGCACGTCCCAGGCTGAGCCCTGAGCATGACTTCAGGAGGGGAAGGTTCTCTGCACCTCCACCAGCAAAAACTCCCCTGGCTTCCTCCACAGCTGGCATTTGACCATTTGCCAGGATAGTCAGAAAGTCAAAACCCAACCTGAACTTCTTGGGAGCCAGCAGCCTCAATCAGACCTCAGACACACTCAGCCAAAAATGGCATTCCTTGGGGAGAGAGCCATTCACTAGGCTGTACTTCCACTACCACAGGCAATTCTTTCTGGGTAATTTCTCTGGGTTCCCCATCAACTGTGTTTTATTTAAATGGAGATGGAGATAAAATTCCAGCCAATATTTTCTTCCACCTTAAAGAGGTTTCCCCTTCGTGCAAGCCAGGCTTGCCCCAGCCTGTCACTAATTACAGATGGAACATGAAGTTCAGAAAGGAGGAATCAGAATTGTTCCCCTCCCTCCAGCAAATATCCATTGAAAAAAGCCTGATTCCTTTGCCTGATGGCACCAGAAGTTTTGCCAGTAAGTTTAAAAAGAAGAGGGAAAATGATTGATGGCAAAGCTGAAGAGCTGACATGCACTTAAGTGCTCCTCTCCTCCTTACAACATATACATCCCTTATTTTGAAAGAGATTCCCCCTGTTCTAGAGATCAGACGAAAACCTGATTGCAAAAAAAAAAAAAAAAAAAAAAAAAGTGCTTCAGTCATACTTTCTAGTTAGAGACCTCAAGGCTCTTTAAACACACAGGGAGGAAAGCCAGGAATGAATCACAGAGGGCAACCAGGTTCTTGTCTCCCACCCTAACCCTCTGCATGCAAAAGATCTCAGAGTTGAGACAGATTTCAGCTCTGCCAGGGCCTCACAGGGCCAGGGGAAACACTGTGGGCTTCCCTTTGCTGGAGGGCTCCTTTTGCCTGGCTCCAGCAGAAAACTCTGTTAGTTCTTTGGATTACACTTCCAAAGCAATGATCCTGTGCACCTGGCCAGGTCCTGCACAGCCTGAGAGGTTTTTGCCTTGTGTACTTTCCCTGTGAAGGTCCCTCCCCAATGCTCCATTTCTGGCCCTCTGAAATCCCCACTCTAAACTGAAAGAAAGCACAAAGGATTATCTGGAGACCAGTGTTATCTCTAAGTGGAGCCAGATGTATAAATCCCATTATTCTTAAAATAATCATTATAGAGTAAGATCTCTTTTCAGAGATTTACTGTGTGGGATGCTTATCCTCCCCTGGAGTCCCCTCCCAACACGCTGGAAGTGATGATCTACACCCATATCACATGTCCCTCCACTAAACTTGGCCCCACCAGCTGCATAATGAAGACATCAAAGTCATGAGGGCTCCCTCAACCCTCAGCCTGCTCTGAGCAGTTTTTAGTGTTTGTTCCATGCAGTCAAGACCAGAGAGAGGCAGGTCCAGTGCCAGTGGATGCTCTGCCTCGGGGTTGTCAGCTCTGGGGCACAGCAAACCCAGTGCAGGGGACAGAGGTGGGAATGGCAGAGTGGGTGTGCACAGACCACCCAGACCCTCTCAGAGAAGAGTTCCTGCACTGCTGAACAAGGGGCAAATGCTCACTGAGGGGTGATTGTCTCAGAACTGTCTCACACAGTGACAGAATCATTTTGGTTGGAAAAGCCCTCTGAGATCACCCAGTCCAACCATTCCCCCAGCACTGCCAAGGCCACCAATAAATGTCCCCAAGTGACACAACTGCACGTTTTGAACACTTCCACCACTTCCCTGGGTATCCTGTTCCAATGCCTGGCCACTATTTCAGTGAAGATGTTTTTCCCTAATATCCAAACCCCCCCTTGGCACAGCCTGGGGCCATTTCCTTCTGTTCCTGCTCAGCAGCTGCTGGAGTCCAGTCCCCATAGCCTGGTCCCAGCACAAGACAGGCACATTTTAGTGGCAGCAGGGAGGAGAAGCTGGGATGGGAATGCTTTGGGCTCACACCTTTGCTGCTGAGGGAGTCTCAGACACTGGAGGAGGCAGGTGCTGTCTTTGAAATGTTTATCCTTGGGCTTATTTTGCCCTTCCAGCACCACACATCTTCAGCCTCTCACTGGAGAGGCACATGTTGCTGTGGAAACTGGTAAATGCAAAATTCTGACTCGACAGCAGTGTCCTGAGGAAAGGGGAACAACTTCCTTCCACTTCTTTCTGTCCCTGCCCAGGGACTGCATGGCTGGGGATGGGATGCCATCCTGTCACAGCTTGGTGCTGGACACGGGGTGCCAGAAGGCCAGGGAGGACTGGGATAACTGGGAGCACAGCAGGGCAGTGCTGTGGAAGGATCCCAAGCTGGGTGTCTGCTCTGGGGCTGGTTGCTCTCTGCCTCTGAGGGAATTTACTCCCCAACACCCCCATCAGCTGCAGGGCTGGACAGGCAGGATTGCCACGCCTGGCTGCAGAGCTGCTGCTCCAGGGCATCCCAGCACCCACTGCTAAACAACCAACCAACCCACCAGACTGGCCAGGGCCACAAGAACAATGGGGGCAGCACAGGAGTGAGGCAGGACAGCTCTGCCCTGTCTCTGCTGCCTGTGAGCCCACACTGCCCTTCCTGAGCAGACAGCACCCAGTTATCCTGGACCCACTGACCACCTCACTGCCTCATCCCAAAACATCCACAGGTCCTGGAATTATTACAAAGGAGGTCAACCATCCTGGGTGTGACTCTGGAACCAAACCCAACAGGACTGAAATTAAATTAGAGCAATTTGCAACGCCCCATTCAAGCACTGACTGATTTTTCTAACTGATTTGTAGTGGCTTTTAATTTTAATTTTAAAAACTGCTACTTTATCAAGTCCATAATGAGCTTTTATTCACACAACCAGAACATATGTTAGCAAAGAATTAGTATCAAATTTTCCAAGGGATCAGGCAGTTGCAAAGCTGACTGTTGCTGGCTAGGTCAGGGTGTGTGAATGGAAGCAGAGTCATGATTATGGAATAATTTTAAGATACATCATATGTAAATATTGGTCCTTGAGAAATATCAAGATGGATTCATTTAAATCCATTCCCAGTGATGACCCCTTAGCTTGGTCACTGGGGCCTCTTTCTCCAGGTGTTTTAGCACTGTCTGAATGAGGTGGTCCTGATGGTGACAGTCACTGAGAGCCACCCCAGAGCTTTGCTGGGTGGGGACTTTGGGGCAGATGAGAGGGAACTTGCCCTGTGTGGACAGATGAAAGGATTTGCACAAGACAAGATCTCTGCAGGTGACTGTGACCCCTGATCAGTGTTGTGAGGTACTCTTGCACCTCAGCCCTGCGTCATGTAGAGAAGAGAAGATTGAGAAGGGATCTCATTAATGCAGATAAATATCTCCAAGGGGTGTCAGAGGATGGTGCCAGACTCTTTTCAGTGATGCCCAGTGACAGGACAAGGAGCAATGGCCATAAACTAAACTATGAAAATTTCCAGTGGCAGAGCACTGCAACAGCTGCCCAGGGAGGGTGTGGAGTCTGGAGCCTGGAGACATTCCAACCCTACCTGGACAGGTTCCTGCTCCAGGTGACCCTGCCTTGGCAGGGGAGTTGGACTGGATGATCTCCAGAGGCCCCCTAATTTGTCATTCTGTGATTTTTTTCAGTGGCCTTAGATCCTTCTGTGTCCACCTAAATTCAGGAGGGAACAAACCAATTCCTCCCACAGCCCTGCTGGTGAGGGATGGGGCCACAGCTGGGTTTGGGAACCTTCTGCATCCAACCCCCTAATCACAGAGCAGGAGCACCCCAGGCGACCTGAGCTGCCCACCAAGGGAAAGCCTTGCCTGCCCACATCACACACACCTGTCTCAGGTATCCAACACCTCCCTGACCCCAGGACAGCCCATCTGCAAACCCAACACCCTCCCAGTGCGTGCCCTGCTCCTCTGCCCACTCCTCTCTGAGGACACCGGGGATCTTGCTCTCTCTCCTGGGCATGGCAGCCGGGCTGAGCGTGGTGCTGTGGCTCCTGGGGAGCCCTCAGTGCTCAGCAGTGACTCGGGGAGCACAGCAGCACCTCCAGCCAGATGTGCCCATCACTGAGGGAGCAGAGGCAGGGCAGCCCCATGTCATACTTACTTCCCATTCCCATACTTGATCCGGATGTCTTTGCTCTTCTTCAGCTCTTTCCCATCTTTAAACCATTTGTAGGATGGCTGAGGGTTTCCAGCAGTCGCCTCACATTTCAGGGAAATCTTCTCACCCACATGAACGTTTGGGCTTTTCAGTTTCTTCAGTTTGGGAGGAACAGCTATGGAAAGAGAAAGGGGACACCGTGAAACCTGTGAAACCTGCCCCTTTCAGAGCTGTGCAGGCACAACAGGAGCCCCCTGAACCCCCTCCCCTGGGCAGAACTGTGCCCCCACTGCCATCAGATGATGGAGAGGGGCTGTCCAGGGAAAACAGCACACAGGGAAGGAGCACGGAGTCAGAAACATCCACACGGGGAAGAGAGGGAGCCCCCAGCTCTGGAGGCTCCACATGAGCAGATCTGATGGTTCCACAGCAGCCAAGGCCAAGCAGGCAGGGTCCCTGTGCTGCTGTCCCTGCAGAGGTTTGCTGAGCTCTCCGGGCTCTCCCACCACACACAAGCTCAAGCTCTTCAGGCACTATTTTTCCCCTGCTCTTTGCCATGGCTGTGCAGATTACCAACACCTGCAGGACCTCTGTGGCTGCCCCGGGCGTGCTGCCAATCCCACAGCCCCAGCAGCCCCAGCCAGAATGTTTTACTGCAGATGGAGCACAGGCAGGTCACAGGGAGCAGGGCCCTGTGCCCCAGAAGGTCTGTGCACAGACCTTGTTCAGCTCAACATCAGCAGAGCAAAAGCCACTGAGAGGGGCTGCAAAAAAAAAACCTACAAGTGTAAGGGGTGAGGAGGGGAGGGACAGCCATTCTTCAGGCTGCAACAAGAAAAGTGGAAGAATAGGTATTTTAAATGTTTTTATGCCAGCAGTGTCAGGCTGGCCAGCAGCCTTTCCAGCCTGGAGCCTGGCTCTGCATGTGGGTGTTTGAAAGAGGTGATTTTTACCATGCACCTGGAACATCAGACAGAGAGGGAGACACTTCTTATCAATCTCTGCCAGGCTTCATATTAAACCTGACAAGAAAGGATTAGCAGGCTTGCAATTTTTCTTTCAGCTGACAGCTCTACACTCTTCTAGCTCCCTTTTTCTTTCTCAGTGTTAACCTTAAAAAAGGAAACAGCGACTTGCTGGTTTTGCCTTAGTAATATTGGTACCAATGGTTTCCCCTTGTCTGAGATGTGTTACAGATAGGGAATTTCCTCTTTCTGATATGCACAAACCACCTTCTAATTGCTTTGTGCATTCTGATCTTGCAAAACGGCAGAGCACTCAAAGGCAGGGGGTCTGGATGGATTTCATCACTGTTTTACAGACCTTTCTATGTCTCCTCTAGTTCTTCATGCCAAGCTAAGTTAGTGTAGGTTGACAGTATTTAAAGACTGTTCTCACCCAAAGGGATCTTACATGAAATAATAAAAAGCACAGTGGTCATCAGGAAGATGCTCCTGTGACAGGAAGCTCTCAGGACTCTCATATTCCACATGGGAATAAGAAGTAAATTGTCCTTAATCAAAAGGATCCCAACATGGATAGAAATGGGGCAGTCCAGGGTAACAGGAATTAGCCAAGCAAAGCTCACAGTGACTGAAAGGCAAGCCCAGGGCTGTGGGTGGGTGACGTGGCAGGGCTGGTCCCAGGCACATCAGACCTTGCAAAGCTTGCCCAGAGCAGCTGTGGCTGCCCCTGGATCCCTGGAAGTGTCCAAGGCCAGATTGGATGGGGCTTGGAGCAACCTGGGACAATGGAAGGTGAGTTTGAAGTTTTTTTAAGGTTGATTCAACCCAAACCATTCCATTATTCTAATGGGACAGGGACAGCACAAAAGCATTGGATCAGCTACAGGCACTCCCTGCAGGCTGTCCCAGGTCACTGTGCTTTGGCACAAACAGAGACTTCTGACCAGAAATGATCTCAGCTTTCACCAAATTTTCGGACTTCTGTGAAAATCCGAGGTGTCATGGGTTTTGTGAAGCCCATATCCCTGATCCTTGCCTGGAAATGGGTTGCCCAGAAGAGCTGGAAGGCAGTGAAGGGAGAGGAGAGCTGGTCTCTTCTCAGAACACTGCACAGAGAGCCAGGAAGGTAAACAGGACCTTGCTTTTATAGGGGTCATTTTGGGGAATAGAGAAATAGACTCTCAAATATTTATTCTGTCTGAATGTGTGTGTCAGTCAGCTCCTATTGTACCCCGAGGTCACCCTGTCCCATGCCAACATCATCCATACACCTTAAACACATGGAAGGTCCTGACCTTGGCATGGCTGCATCTGCTTCATTTTATTTCCAGCCCGGTGGTCTGCAGAATTATGAAGCAGGCAGAATATGGGCTAATTTGGACTGAGATATCAGTCACTGAAGGGACAACTCTTGTCTCATTTCAGAGAAGCCACAGGTGTGAAGAATTCCCATCTTTTATAAGCTAGAACCAGTAGTAAGATGGAAAGTAGTTCAACTGGTGTTAAAACTGATATAACAACTGAGTCCTGGGGGGTGAAAGAACATTCTCTTCTTGTCTCCCTTCCATAGTTCTATGTACTATCCTCACCCTGAGTGGAAGAGAAACTGCAAACTGCTGGGAGGAAGGGGCGTCAGCCCTGCCCCTCTCCACTGAAATGCTGGCAAGAGCAGAGCAAACCCCAAAAACCTGCAGCCTGTGGAGGAAGAGGGCCAAGAACAAGCAAGGAACCTTCCATGATCTCCCCACCAACATGAATCATGCCTCACCTAAAACTCTGCACACGCCACCAGTGATGATTATAGGACATTCCAAAGCGGGCAGATCCAAAAAAACCCAAAGAGCTGACACATACAGAGCATCCCACCCCTCCAGCAGAGAGTCCTGCCCAGAAAAAGGGAGGAGAACATCTTTCCACCCCAGTCTACATGTTTTTGGTGTGTCACTACAGGAGGGAAAGAGACAGTGGATTCAGCTCCAGGCCACACTTCATGGACTCCATGGAGTGCAATTCCCCAGCTGAACCAGACAGAGCAGTGAAAGGGAATCCAATCCCGAAATATTCTGGACTGTGTCTGGGAAAAGGGCTGTGCACAAAGAGGCAGAGCTGTGCTCCGTGACACATGTGTGCCCTTTCTGCTGCACTGCAGCAGGGCTTGTGCTTGGACAGCAGCGTGGGAAGAGCAGGCAGAGCCCCAAGCCTGGGAAACAGCATCCAGAGCCTTGCTCTGGGCAAAAGAGAAGCCTGGCCTTGGTCTCTGGGAAGGGCTGCTCTGGGCTGGAAAGCCTCACTTCATAATTCCTGCAGCTTTCAGAAAAACACAGAAATCTTCATTTGGAGCCATTCACTGCTGATGACTCTGCTTAATTCCAGACAAAGACTTTCCTCTGGTTTTTACTCGTAAAAAGTTTAAACTGCAGCTCTTATTCATAGTCTGAACTTCTCTAACTTTGGCTTCCAGCCAGGAGATCTCTGCCTCTCTCTGGTAAATTTGAATCCCATCTAGCAACCAGAAACCCCTTCCCTTTTTAGGTACTTGTAAACTATGACTGAATCACCTTTCAACCTTCTCCAGCAGTAAACGAAAGCTGCTTGAGAGACCAGAGCAGCACACGGAGTGCTAATACTGGAGTATGTCAAAGTTTTACATTTAGGTACATTTTCAGCTTTTGACCCATTTCCCATCTCTGCCCTGTCCAAATCACAGAGTTGCAGCTCAAAAAACCATGACTTTAGTTCAAAATCATCAGAGGCTTGATTTTAAGTGCCCCCTTTCTTAGTGCTCTGAGCATTTGGAGTCATTTTAATCTCCTCCTTGTTTGATGCATGCTGGAAAAACAAATTCACTAGCTTCACACATATCAAAATAGCACACTATCCTGGGCAAACAGCTTTAGATGTGTACCCAGCAGGGTCCAGATCTCATTCATTATGTTTCCATCAATTCCCAGCCTCCTCCACACAGGTAGGGCCAGCACAGCTTCTGTCAGAGCCCAAACAGGGCCCAGGGTGGCCCAAGTCACCAAAGTCACCCTGGAGCAGGCTGAGCTGAAGCTGCATCATGATTTCAGCTCCATCCCGTGGAGCAGCCCTGCCAGCTGTGCTCTCCTCCACAGCTGGGCTGGCAGCACCCCCAGCCCAGCCCTCACTGCAGCCAAGGTCACCAAAAGAGGGAGAAGGGTTTGGGCTCTGCCTGTCAGCCTCAAGCTACAGCTCAGCATCTCTATCACTGGTCACCTTGCAATTCTGTCAACCCCTCCTCCCTCCAAATTCGTGTCTCCTCTCCATGGGGTGAAGTATCACCAGCCTCACAATGCCTGAGGTGATGGACAGAAGAGCCAGATGTATTTCCAGGCAATTTTTCTGAGCAACAGCCACGTCAAGGGTATGTCGTGCTGCAAAAAGGAAGTTTAATCCTGGTAGAGCGGAGACAAACAATAAAAACAAATTTTCTACAGATTTTTGCTCACTCCAAGGTCAGATGAAACCCAAGCAACCATTAGATCCCATCCTACACTAATTGTGTGAGCTGTAAAAATTAACCCTGACACATGCCAGAGCCAGGATCGACAAATGCACACAATCTCCTAACTTGTTTTAAGAGCCATGTTTGATAAAAAGACCTTTGCAGCAGAGGTTTGTCCTCTGATAGCAGCCCTGGCATCTGCTGCCTTCTCACAGAGAGGAGAGGGTTACAAAAGTCTGAAACACTGAGCTCTAAACTACACGATATGAGTTGTTTGAACATCCACCAAAAAAGGACTTACATGTACACACTGCTTTAATTAATTCACTTCTGATTACACTTGATATAACACTGAAGTACCTTGATGATAACAACACCTCTTTTACTTCTGGTACCTGCAGTATGCCTGCAAGCACCTCAGAGCCTCAACTCAAAACATCATTAATCATCCTCGGGCAGAGTGCCCAAACAGAGTCCAACAATGGAGTGGTGACAAAACCACATCCCACCCACAGAGCATCCTACATAAACAACCCCTGGGCAGCAGAAAGCAGGAGCAGCCATCCTGGGAAAGGTATTCCATGAGGTCTGGACCAGCCAGCAATACCAGCCACAGGCGCTGCTTCCCGAGCCTGGGAACGCTCCACACAGACACATCTGGGATTTCGGGACACATCTGGGATTTCTGGACAACTGATGTCATCAGGAGATGGGACTTCTCGTCCTGGCCTCCTCCAAGGGCTC